GGGGGGGGGGGGCGGGGGGGGGGGGCGGGGGGGGGGGGGGGGGGCGGGGGGGGGGGGGGGCGGGGGGGGGGGCGGGGGGGGGGGGGGGGGGCGGGGGGGGGGGCGGGGGGTGGGGGGGGGGGGGGGGGGCGGGGGGGGGGGGGGGGGGGGGGGGGGGGGGGGGGGGGGGCGGGGGGGGGGGGGGGGGTAATTTGGTTTATTATAGGGTTTATGTGGGTTTATTGTAGGGTTTAGAGGGTTTATATGGGTTTATGGGGTTTATACGGGTTTATACGGGTTTATGATGTGGGTTTACAGGGCTTATTGGGTTCATAGGGTTTATAGGGTGCAGAGCTTTTCGGGTTTCTGCTGTCAGGTGCCAACGTCCGCCCGACGTCCCCCGCCTTTCACTTTCCACTGCTTGAACGATCAACTTGCGCGCCTGCGGGGCCGCCGGCACGTTGAAAAAGGTTTAGGGTTTAGAGTTGAGGGTTTAGCCTCAGCCGCAGTCGTAAGAATCCAGGCCTGATCCTCGATCTGGATAAGCTCGCTGATATACTTCTTTTCAAAGGATGCCCACGCAGCATCTAAGGTCACCTCGACTCGAATGGCCGTGGATGCTCATGCAGATGCCGGACTGTGCGGATGTCCCTCAGGCATGGACAAGTGCTGTGCGCACTTCTGTTTTCTCAGGGCGATCGCTTCCCCCGCCTGGCTGCCAACCTGCGAAGACACCATGATATTGCACGATTATTGACTGCTTGCCGAATTGCCGAATACTCACAACTTGGGTGCCCCACGGTCGAGGAGCAGGCACATGTCTGACCATCCGCGTTGCAGGTCTTCAGCACACTGCATGGCCTACTCAGTGGCATCCAAGGACAGTCAGGAATTCTCAGAGAAGCGTACGCTCAGAAGCACAACCTCCAAGCCTGTGGCTTCCGGTGGTCGCTTTGCTTCAAGAATCAAAAACACGTTCCGAAAAAAGCTTAGACCCTAAACCCTAAACCCTTTTGCGGGCAAGGTTGGCCTCTTGACTGAACTCGAATTTGTCCCCATTAACCTCAGGAACTACACCAGTTCTGCACAGCTTCAGCAACTGGCAAGATTCCCATTTAGGGTTTAGGGCTTAGGGTTTAGCATCTCCGAGCACAAGACATGTAGGCTCTCATGAGGCATCCAGTGTCCGTGTCTTTGGAGCCAAGTGGCCCAAATGACTGCGTTCTGCTCAATACTAGCCTCAAGAATGTCGACGCGATAGTTTCGAGACCTCTGCAGTTTTCAGGCGCGCGATTCGGCCAGGCTTTCTCGAAAAGTGCTGCATCAAATTCTTCAGCCAGGTAGCTCATCAGGGAAGAGCGCGCGGTAGTTGATCGTAAAGCTGGAGCGGTACCTCCCACAGATTCCCACACCCAGATGCGCCAAGAAAAAGCAAACTCGTCGGCGCCAATGACATGGGCCCGCAAGGAAGAAAACTAACTGAGGCAACGAATACACAAACCTCTGCCGTTCCTCTGCGCGTTCTCTCCGACGGTTTTACTAGTTGCTTAAGAACCCCCCCAAAAATATTCTTCCTTGCAAAGGTAATATATACATATATACATATATATGTAAATAAATAAATATATATATATATATATACATATATATATATATATGGGGATTATTGTTTTCTATTCTTTTGGGGTTCTTAAGCAAATAGTAGGGTTTCGGCTGGGGAGGCGTACGATCGGGAAGCGGGATCCAGCCGCAAGCTGCGCGCCGTGGCTTCCAAACCTTGGCTTTAGGGTTTAGGGTTTAGGGTTTAGGGTTTAGGGTTTAGGGTTTAGGGTTTAGGGTTTAGGGTTTAGGGTTTATTGAACTTATTAAGGGTTCAGGTCCGGGGAAAGTTTCGAGGAGTTTCGAGGAGTTTCGAGGAAAGTTTCCAGGAGTTTTGTTTTTGGATTTTTCGAATCAGAGGCCAAATTGGCTTCAGAAGGCCAAAATTGGCTTCAGAGGCAGACACATTGGCCCAAACTTGTTCAGAAGGCCAAAATTGGCTTCAGGAGGCCCTAATTGGCTTCAGGCTCAAAATTGGCTTCCAAATTGGCTTCAGAAGGGCCCAAATTTGGCTTCAGAATGCCCAAAATTGGCTTCAGAAGGCCAATTCAAGGCCCAAAGTTGGCTGGAGAAGGTCAAAACTGCCTTCACAGGCCCAAATTGGCTTCACATTGGCTTCAAAGACCCAAATTGGCTTCAGAAGGCTTCAGAAGGCCCAAAGTTCGCTGGCCAAAATTGTCTTCAGAGTCCCAAATTGGCTTCAGAAGGCGCAAAAATGGCTTCAGAAGGCCAAAATTGTCTTCAGAAGGCCCATTGGCTTCAGAAAGCCAAAATTGGCTTCAGAAGACCCAAAATTGGCTTGAGAAGGCCAAACTTGCCTTCAGGGGCCCAAATTGGCTTCAGAAGGCCCAAAAATGGCTTGAAGGCCAAATTTACTTCAGAAAGCTCAAAATTGCTTTCAGAAGGCCAAATTGGCTTCAGAGGCCCAATTGAGAAGGCCAAAATTGGTTTTAGGCCCAAATTGGCTGCAGAGGCCCAAAATTGGCTTCAGAAGGCCTAAATTTGGCAGGCCAAAATTGGCTTCAGAAAGCCAAAATTGGCTTCAGAAGGCCAAAATTGGCCTCAGAAGGCCCAAATTGGTTGCACAAGGCCCACCAGCAAAGAGCCCAAAAGGCACCGGGTGGCTTTGAAAAGGACTTGAGAAGCTTCAAACAGCTCCAAAGGCTGAAATGTTCAATTTTCTTAAACCGCACAAAGCCCAAAAGTCTTTTTTGTTCGATTTACTTAAAACTCCTCGCCTACGCAGTCACAAAGCAACTGACGACAACTCAGCAAAAAGAAGCCGGCAACTTTGCACCGCACCAGCAAAAGTGGCCTTCCAAGAAAAGGAAGGAATAAGTTCAAGTTTACACGTTGGCTTGAGGGTTTAGGGTTTAGGGTTTAGGGTTTAGGGTTTAGGGTGCCTGCTTCGCCACCAGCAAAACACTACGAACTTGGCACGAACATCTCAAGGAAGCGGCTCTCCAGAAAAATCGCCGTGGCATTGAAGCCTGCGCGACGCACGTGGGCTGCAGTACCGGCATGTGATGTGGCAGACGCCTGCTTTTGCCCTTCCACATGCTCATGGGTGTTCTGTCGTCTTGGTTTCACAACTGCTGCGCATACCCCAAGAGCTCGGGAACGAGGAAAGGCAGCGGAGGTCTACTTGCCTGTCTCTGTCTTTGTGTCCACGTAGCCGCCCTCAACAATCAACTTCCTTGGTGTTGATGGGTGAACCGAAGGTGTGAGGGCGGGGTGCAGGTGTGAAGAAATCAAAGCCTAACCCTAGACCCTAAACCAAAAACCCTAAACCCTAAACCATAAACCCTAAACCCTAACCCCTAAACCCTAAGCCCTAAACCCTAAACCCTAACCTTCTTAAGTTGTAACAGCATCCTGCAGCTGCTTCTGTGCAGCCCGGCTGCTTGTAGCTCGAAAGCAGCCGGTCCAACACGGCATCCGTGCTGTTGCCGCTTTCAGAGTAGTTGCCTTCTGGAAGTCACAAGGGTTTAGAGGACATCCAAAGGAAAGGATGAGATCTCAATGATAGCTGGTTTAGGGTTTAGGGTTTAGGGGTTAAGGGTTTTTTGCCACCTGCCTAGCAGCCTCGCAACCATGCCGGGGCTCAGGGGTCAGGGTTTATAGGGTTGCAGCATGGGCTTGCACGGAAGTCGAGACAGGGTTGTGTATGTTGTTTATAGAAATTAGCCGTTGAAGCTAGACCATCTCACTGCCCGTTTATTATGTACAACATGTCCTACGTATCATACACACGTATATGACGTACTGCGTTATATTACAATGTTGTACCAAACTCTACATACACTCTACTGCAGAATGATATACGATATTGTACCATCTCAACGTGCTAACGGGCGCGCCTGATGAGCCCGCAACGGTAGCCTGACCCTAAACCCTAAACCCTAAACCCTAAACCCTAAACCCTAAACCCTAAACCCTAAGACTAGGGGCCCGGCCGCATAAGAAACTCGGGAACATGGCTCTGAGCAGAGTTCAGCGGCACCTGAGGGGTACCCCAAAAGGGAGCATTGTGTAGCGAACTCACCATGTGGGCTTACGAAAAGGGTGCCGTACAGTATTATGTGATAGGGGACCCAAGTAGAGGACTACTCATGTGAAGACACCCCAACACAGACAGCGCAGCTTTGTTGATTTTCACAGGAGGTTGGCAACAAACGGACCCTAAACCCTTAAACCCTTAAACCCTTATACCCTTAAACCCTTAAACCCTTAACCCCTTAAACCCTAAAACCCCGAATCGGTTTAGGGTTTAGGGTTTAGGGTTTAGGGTTTAGGGTCTAGGGTCTAGGGTCTAAGGGTTTAGGGTTTAGGGTTTAAGGGTTGAAGGGTTGAGGGTTTAGGGTTTAGGGTTTAAGGGTTTAAGGGTTTAAAGAGAAGGGCAAGACTGGCTGCTCTTTTGTTGTCTGTCATAGCCTTGCTTCTGATGCTATAATCTTTCGAACCTTGGGTTTTTGTACTGTAATATACAACATGATATACTGTTCAAAAGTGCTCAGCTGAGATGGAAGCCCGGGAAATCAGACATTCGAAGCACGCCGGGCCTTGAAAGCCGGCTGCCCGCCTGCTTGCCTCGAGCAGCTGGTGCTTGCGGATTTTTGCCGTGTGGGCACTTCTCAGGGTTTAGGGTTTAGGGTTTAGGGTTTTAAATATGGCCTATTTTGCGGGAACTTATGTAGATCTCGCTGGACATGCCAAGCGGCGTCGGCCAGCGCACCGCGCACGCCCAAGTGCACTTGAGCCAAACGGTTCACCGGCAAACAACCGGGTGTCAACACGGGTTTAGGGTTTAGGGTTTAGGGTTTAGTTCTTACCAGTTCTTCCGGTAACAGGCGTGGCCACGTCTACGAATCAGACGAAAGGGACGCTCACAAGGACAGAAGCAATCCGACTCAGGGCCACGCCCGCTGTCGGCACGACGCAGCCAAAGCCATGAACAGTCAACATCTTCAGGCGGCCGAAGCGAAGCAAATGTCCGTTTCAACATTAGGGGTGCCTTATTGGATCCTTATTTAAAGGAATCCTAGTATTTTTATTAGGGGTCCCTTGTTTTTCGCAAACCCCCAAATGGCAAGGGCCCTGTGCAGAATGCGGCTTCTGTCTGGCTCCGTTTCTTGAAATTTCCTGTGCTCTTTTGTCACCAGTCTGCACATCTCCACAAATCTCCATACATCTCCCTCAATATTCCCTAATAACAGGCAACCGGTATGTGTGGACGAGGTACCCAGTCCTACCAGGGCCCACTGCTAAATGCACTAGCTTGCTTCGCTGGGATGAAACAAGCCAAACAAATCAAGGGATGTCTGTGCCACTGGACTTCGCAAAGTTGCCAGCACTGCCAGCCGCAAAAAGAGCTGCCCATCGCTCTCTTTCCAGCACGCACGATTGTCCAGCAGGTCAGTCGACAACCTCAGCACAGCTACCTCTTCAACATAGCAGCAGAGACCGCAAAAAAATCCGTAAACCCAACAAAAAGACAGCTAGCTCCGTGTGCGAGTCAAATCTAGCTATTGGGTCGTCACGTCTCAGTTTCTCTAGTCGTTGCGTGTGAACGCTTGTGACGGCGCGTCTTGTCCAGAAACGCTGAACGTCATGGTGCAGTATACGCAAAGATAAATACAAGTATCTTGGGGCATGCTCACACAAACACGGAGAAAATATCGACAAATGCCCGCCAGGCTGGGCCTTGTAGTCGTTTGGCCTCATCGCATTCCTGCAAAATGGCAGCAACATTTCAGGACACGTTCGCAACACTCCCTGCTTAGAGATGCATGGCCACCAAAGTCCAGAGATGATAGCACGCCAAAAGCGGCACAAGCAGGCGCGAGGAGGTCCTCCAATACGATTTGATGTCTTTCTCGCTGTACTCAGCTTTGTACTTCCTCAGCTTGCCAATGGCCCTGCCTGCCTCTCCCTCTGCACATGAGGGGTGACGAGGCGGCATGGCTTGAGTGCCTTTTGCAGCATAGCCAGAGTTTAGGTTTAAAAAAAAACCCTAAACCCTAAACCCCAAACCCTAAACCCTAAGAACTGCTACATTTGTGCCATTTGCTGACGAAGCTCTCCAGCAGCTGAGCTAGGGAGTAGCGCCTGCAGCGAGAAGGGCGTACTTAAAGCACCCCCGTTTTTTGCACTGGAGAGTGCGGGCAACGTCAGATGACACGCCCTCCCCGTGCTGCGAATCAGGACCCAGGGCCCAGCTCCTTGTATACCCGGCGCTACTTGGTTGCCCCAACCCGCAAGGGTAGATGACACTTCTCGGCTCCTTTTGTTTAGGGGCTGCGGCAATCAAATAGTCCATAACATGCTAGAGATGTAAGCCTAAACGCATCTCAACGGAGTCACTGGGTATGCATTTTTAGCATGGGGTGCTGCATGTATTGACTGCTGACTGTTCTGATGCTGACGTATTGGCCGTGTCTACTCTCTAGTTGCTGCCTTGCGGCTTCAGGGTTCAGGATTTAGGGGGTACATCTGGGTTCCTCGGAAACCCTAAACCCTAAACCCTAAACCCTAAACCCTAAACCCTAAACCCTAAACCCTAAACCCTAAACCCTAAACCCTAAACCCTAGCTTCGCATCCTGAGCCGCTGGCTGGCCGTCAAACGGGTCCACTCGCCGTTCTCGGACCTGGTTAGCGAATCAATCTCGGAGGCCCCCTTTGAACCCCAAAGGGGGTAATGGTACCCCCTATTGTGGGAGATGCCCACCCGGCCTCAGCTGGTTCTATACCGTCAGGGTACTTCTCGTGCCTTCACATCACGAAGCTACATGCAGACTCTTTGGCTCCTGAACCCCAAACCCTAAACCCTAAACCCTGAACCCTAAATCCTAAACCCCAAACCGTGCCTCTCTCTCCGGATGTTCTCATCTGAGATCTCCTGCACACTGCGCTCATGGCTCGCTTAGTAGTCTAGTTGCAAACCTAAGATACCCTAAGGCCCGAACGTCCCTACACCCTAAACCCTAAACCCTAAACCCTAAATCCTACACCCTAAACCCCATACCCTAAACCCTATACTCCTTGGGCATCACATCAATCTCATCCCAAGCTTTGCAGCGCCAAGTGGGATCCTCCAGAGAGCCGGCGCATGTGAAAGTCTAGACCCTAAACCCTCAACCCTAAACCCCCGGCATCTCAGGGTTCTGCGAGCCACTGGGCCATGACAGATGCGGACCTCCAGCGCTGCAGCTTTCCCAGCAAGAAAAGAAACGCGCAAAGCGGGGCAACAAGTCCTAGTAACGGCCGTATCAATAGTACTAACCATAATACAACAAATAACAGTCATAAAAATAAGAAAACATTATTAATCACAACAATAAGAATCATCATCACAATGGTCATGGTAGGTAATATGTAGGGGTTTCCGAAAATAGGGATACCCTTCTTGGGGGTCCCTTTAAGGAGATTCTATTTGGGGTGTAAAATGGGAAATACCTATATATAACCACAGCAAGCATCTGCCGCGCTAAGATCGGGTCCACGGATCCAAAGGTTCGAGCGTGTCGAGGGCCCTCAGTTGGAGAACTGCTCAGAATGCGACGGCGAACCGTGGGAACTGTTAAGCTTGACTGGTTCTTAGTAGGGGATGAGATGCCCTCTATAGGTCTATAAGAAGGTATCTAATCCCTGACATATTTCATCCCTTAAAGGGTGGACAAAGTTGGGGTACCCCATATACTCCCTTAAATCGTGCATGTATATATATATATGGAATATAAGGTACCGAATTCCCGCATTCCCTCATTCCCTACAAAGGCGCCTGTAGCTAAGGGCCCCGGCCCACGAAGATCATCTGGAAGAGGGGCAATGGCCTATTCACAGCGCTGCCACATGGGGGTTTCCGAACATAGGGGCGACCCTTCTTGGGGATCCCTGTTCAGGGGGGGTTCGAACCATTCTATTTGGGGTATAAATTCGGTAAACCCCAAACCCTAAACCCAGAACCCGTCCGGAAAGGCCCACATGGGGTTCGTCCAGCAGCGGGGCTTTTGGGCCGGCACAGGGCGCGCAACGCACCTCTCGAGGAACATCGTCCAGGTCTTTGAAGGCCAGTCTATACCTGAAATCCGGATTCTCTCTCCACACCTCACCCAAACACCCAGAGTGTTCGGGCAGGGCGCCGGTGCAGAAAATTTCGAGGACACCACTGCAGATCTCGGAGGAAGGCCTCCACTTCCGAAGTGGAGAGAGTTCCAAGGTGGTGACCAAACTCAACAAAACACGTCAAGTCGGCGTTGCCCTCCTAGGGTCTGTTCAATCCCCCCCGAGCCACCGGCTTCTCTCGAGATTGCTCGGCTCATCTGTTCAGGAAGGTCCTTGAGACTTCTTGAGAATTGCGGTTTAGGGTTTAGGGTTTGGGGATTAGGGTTTAGGGTTTAGGGTTTAGGGTTTAGGGCCAAAGGGCCTGGACGGACCTGAAGCGCTTTTCAAAGCGAGCATCGACTCGAAGACTCAGCTCCCCACATCCAGATGAAGGATCACGCCGCGCGCCCTCGAGAAGCGAAAGGCTAAACCCTAAACCCTAAACCCTAAACCCTTTTTTTGACTCGGAACCCTAAACCCTAAACCCTAAACCGTGGATTGCTTCAGCAAATTCTGAGCTTAGGGGGCTGCAGATCTCCCTCTTGCAAGTCCGGGTCGAGCCGCAATGCCTGAAAAGGCTGACCAAAAAGGGGCATCTGCTGCCCTGCAAACTTCTGGCGCAGGACAACTCACGGCAACTGGGGGCTGCCTCTTTCAGCAGCTGCAGTCGTAGATTTTCCGGCAAGTGCTTTGCATCAAATGGCATGGCACCCAGTGAAGCTACAAATCCTCTGGCGTGACTGTGGCGAAACGGCCTCTGCAAGTAGGTACTGGACTAGAATGCATGCTGCAAAGGATCGTTCTGCTGCTCACGTGCACTCCTGCTCCATGATGCTGACATAGCTCATGTGGTGGGCTGCGGTCGCACACCAACATTAAGCCCATGGCAGAGCCACTGCAGCAACCCTATGGTCGTCTCCCAATTCTGCCTTTCAGAGCCCAAAACCTTTTCTTTGTAGTTTGCCTAAGAATCCTAGAACGGGCTTTATCACCTACAAGAGAATAGTAGGGTTTGGGCTCTTCAAGGCGCAACCCTGGAATCCATAACCACAACTGGAGAGCCTGCGTTTCAAGTGACAAGTGCACGTCGGGGGCCGGCTGCACCTCTACTTCTTGCCACCGGCCAGCTCGTTCAAAGGGAGAGGCAAGGGCAACATAGGTCCTGGCCTTCGCCAGACATATCCCAAAACTTGGGACGTTCCCCCCTTTTACTAACAGTCCTTACTGGGGATTATAATAGGGAGTACTATAACCCCAATTAAGGACTGTTACTAAAGGGAGCACATCTCCACCCAAAACTCTCTTCAAGAGCCAGTGCGACAGCTGCCAACAAGCTCGGGGCGGTGGGCTGAACAGAGCACTCCTTCATATCCTGGGGGCTTTTGGTGGCTGACTGTATTCTGACGCTTGCTGAGACTACTTGGAGGTTTAGGGTACTTGTGACCCCAAATTTCTTTACCTAAAAACCCCCCCAAGCTATGTATAACCCTAAACCCTAAACCCTAAACCCTAAACCGCGAGAAGTACCCTAAACCTCCAAGTAGGTCTTGCGCATCCTGAGAGGCGCACCTCAAGGACCTCCAGGGACTTCCTGTCCCGCAAGTTTAGGGTTTAGGGTTTAGGGTTTAGGGTTTAGGGTTTAGGGTTTAGGGTTTAGCAAGGAAGCTGCTACCCACAGAGCAGCCATCCCAGCTCCCCTCATCTCGCTGGTTCTTAGTAGGGAAATGAGGGAATGAGGGCCCTACATATATATATATATATATATATTTGCAGGGAAACCCTAAACCCTAAACCCTAAACCCTAAACCCTAAACCCTAAACCCTAAACCCTATGTATTTCTATATATAAACATACAATTTAAGGGATTCTGTAGGGCCGTCATTCCCTCATTTTCCTACTAAGAACCAGGGGGTCGTTAGCAATCCTGGGCCCAGGCTGGGAGTCGTCATAAGCCTTGAAAAAGCACATTCTTTCGTGTGTGGCAGGTCTGACTTAAGCAGAGCGGCAGCTCAAGCAATGACAGCGCGCGAGTCGGTGAGTAAAAACACCTAAAGTCTGAAGATGTGTGCAAAAACACAAGTCTCTGAAAGCTCGGGGCGCGGATCAGCGTGTTGAATGTGATGACATCCTCTTCAGCGGCGGCGCGCTTCCATGCATCTTCTGGCGCATCTGCGCTGCATCTGCGCAGCTTGGGCTCTCACTGGCTGCAACTCGTGGCTGCGCATCTCTGTCAAAGATGCCTGCGCCTGGCCAAGGCAGAGTTCTGGCATCTGCACAGGGCTTGCTGCAGACGAGGCCCCGCGAGACGCTGAGCTCGCATCCCACCTGCAGCGGAAGGGCTGCCATGGCAAAGGCGTTCAGCGAAGAGTTGTAACCTCATTCTCAAGGTATCGCCAAGCTGAGCCCACCCATGTGGCGCTCCATGGACTTACTGTTGCTTAGTAGGGAATGGGGGAATGAGGGGTGCCCTATATACTCCCGTGAAGGGTATATGTAGGGCCCTGATTCCCTCATTCCCTGTTCACCAACAGTAGGCGTGCGCTCCATCGAAGCATGCAGCCCAGCTGAGTGGTCCGCACACCAGGGTGGGTGCAACTCGGCGCTGTTGCATGCGAGTCATGCAGGCCTCGCCCGAATATTCGTAATTCAAGGGTTGCACCACACTTTCCAAGCCTGACAGCCTGGCAGCCGCAGCTGGTCGTCTTTTCTCACGGTCTGCATTGCTCAAACAGCAACAGAACCGCTTCGCGGCGTGGCGAAACCCTTCAAAAGCCGGCTGATCTGCCGCTGGTTTCGTCACGGGATGCCATTTGCATCTCGTCGGATGACATTGTCTTAGTTCATGCTACAATTGCCTGCAGAGTTCGTTTAAAAGAAACTCCCAAGCCAAGCTCCCGCCGCACTGAAGCAAGAGCTGCAGTTTGTAAAACATGGCAAAGCATCGTACAAGCCCTATAGACCCTAAACCCTAAACCCTAAACCCTAAACTCCAAACCCTGAACCCTTATTCCTGCTCCGTCGACAGGACGTCTGTGCGCGGAGCATTCTACAGCTTGGAAAGCCCGCACGGGATTCTCAGGCTCACACCTGGCCACATGTGCCACAACAGGCAAATGAAGGCAAAGTCACACAATGACATAGTAAGGTAATAAAAACAATCATACAGTGACATCATAAGGCAAAATCTTACAAAAAACTATAGTAATATAAACATGACATACCCCCGCCTGGGCACAACGTGCCGACGTTGCGGGTCACCACTTGCCAGGCCAGGTCGTAGACCTTGTCGAAGTTCGCGTCCCATGCCTGGCACCGGTGGCGCTGCATCGTGTGTGGCTTCGTCCGTAACTGAAGGCATGTGGGTGGCTCTCTAGAGTAGGGTCCCCTTTTTGGGGCCCCTACAGAATACGGCACTGTTATCATAAGATATCATAAGTAACTACAAGTACCCCCAAGGGACCCTCATGTAGAGAACCACCCCTGTCGACACATGTCGACAAACCCTAAACCCTAAACCCTAAACCCTAAACCCTAAACCCAAGTCGACATTCGGCCTGAGAGCCACTCTTCATGGCGGCTTGCAGCTCGGCAGTTAGCTGCTGCTCCTCGCCTCAGCACGCGTGAAAGATCTCAGCTTTGGCTTGCTGGGTTTAGGGTTTAGGGTTTAGGGTTGTGTTTTCTTGCCACCGCCTAGCTGACACTCAGGCCACATTGCAGGGACTCGTTCCGGAAATGACTGTCGATAGAAGAGAAAATCTCGTGCCTTTGGAAACGCAGAAAATGGGGGGGGGGGGGGGGGCGTCAGCTCAAGCAACACGTATTTATGAGATTTATGACAGGATTGGGGGGGGGGGGATTCGACAAGGGTTTCGGGGGTTTAGGGTTTCGGGTTTAGGGTTTAGGGTTCTTATACTCTTCGTAGTTGCATCGAGCGGCTGGAGCCGATGGTGGCTTTTGCTTTGACGCGGTCGCGGGCCAGCTTCTGCATCAGAATCCGGGAGTCTCCTTCTGCAAACTTGCAGGCCTGACGAAGCTGCGGTTTAGGGTTTAGGGTTTAGGGTTTAGGGTTTCTGCTGCATAATCTAGGGTTTAGGGTTTTTGTCCCACCCGTTTCGCATGCGGGTTTAGGGTCGAGGGTCTAGGGTTTCTGATGCCCAATTGGGCGTGCCATCTTCATGCATTCGCGGTTGGACGATTCGGTGCTCGTGACATTAAATCCGCCGAGGGCCAGGCTAAAGGCAGGGAAAAGAACCACCCCAACACCCCTATGTGCACCCTTTAAGTTCGCAAGCCCAAATCAACGCCATGGCCCCCATCCCTGTGGACCCTGAAGATTAAGCCCTTAGTCAACCACGATGGACCCCTCTCTGACCCCTACGAATTTCTCCTGTGGTGGACTCTAATGGAATGCCCCCTGGATCTGCCTCTGGATGGACTCCCTATTAGAGGCGGTATGGACTGTTTATGGACCCGCCTCAAAAGCCTCCTCAGAAACTTCTATGGACCTGTCAAATGGATCCAATGGACCCCCCTGTGGGCTCCGCACAGAGACGTCTCCTGTTTTCATTTTTTGCAGGGGTGCGCACACCCCCCCGCCCCCCCAGCCTTCCAGAACCTATCCCCTGCACCATAAACCCTAAGCTCTGAACCCTGAACTATTGCCCCTGTAAGGAGGGTGCCTGAAAATCCAGCCGACGTGCAGGCTGGAAGAAATATATATATATATATATACAGATATATATATATATACATATGTATATATATATATATGTATATTTATCTCTGTACTTGTTCAATTATGTATTTTCTATAGTTATTTCTCCACATTTGTTCTTCTATCCAGATACTTATATATAGATATGTGTTTATGAGTTTTTCTGCAAAAGATAAAATTAGGAGAGAACATGTGTAGAGAGAGAGAGAGAGATAAGTGGAATCCTTTCTCTTCCTGCGCCGGTGACACTATGACTGTGACACCTCTTACCTTCCCCTCAGCTAAACCCTAAACCCTAAACCCTAACCCTAAACCCTAAACCCTAAGGCCCTAAGGCCCTAAGGCCCTAAGGCCCTAAGGCCCTAAGGCCCTAAGGCCCTAAGGCCCTGAACCCTAAACCCTAAACCCTAAACCCTGGTGTCTCCTACGCCGTGATTTTTTGGCTTGAAGATGGAGAAGCCACATCAGAAGCAGATCGCTAGAATTGCTAGGAGCTTGTGCTTGCAGCTCTTCCCGAGACTTGTTGAGTCACCCAAACTTATACTCCCCTTAGAACCTTAATAAAGAAACAATGGTTTTATGAATCCTCTTGGGTTTTATATAAACAAAAAATCATTCCCAAGATATAGAAACACCTGCTGTTCGACTGCTGAAGCACCCATCTGTCAGGCTGCCCTGTGAGCTGCGCGCCTGCAAGAAGTCCATCTGCTCGAAGCCGGTGTCGCCCATTAAGGCATGGGAACCCACATCCTGCTTCAGGCGGAAGCACAAGTCGATGCTCATCTCCTTACGCCCGAAGTGGCTTGCCGAGGGATTGCTGTTAGGGTTTAGGGGTTTAGGGTTGTTAGTGGTTGCTTGTCCGCTGACCGAATGCAAGATACACATCTGTTGTAGGAAAGCGGCGCTTGCCGCGATCTTGGCACATGCGATTGCTTCCTGCAGGCTCGCAGGTGGTATCTGGTCCTTCCGTAGACCTGGTCAGCAGGTGATGTCGCCTACAAAGACGCGCTCGCTCCAGCATGGTCGTCATGACATGCATGAGGCATCCTGAATGGGAGAGTAGTGGCGCCGCAGGTGAAAACATTTTTTGCATATTTAGCGCCTATGGCATATGTCACCCTAAACCCTAAACCCTAAACCCTAAACCCTAAACCCTAAACCCAAAACCCTAAGCCCTAAGCCCTAAGCCCCAAACCCGACCATGCAGCATGCCGCCGGAGAGCAATCATTCAGCTGCGCTTCGCACTCGCCAACAAATCTTTCCAGCTGTGCCAGATTGGCTTCTGCTCTTGCATACCTGACGCAACAAATCTCGGGATCCAATCGGGGCAAAACACAACTGCAACGACCTCAAGAAGAGAAGTTCCAGGCCATACTGTAGATGTAAGGAGCTTCGGCAGCTTGATGCAACTCTTCGAGCGTTTTCTGCAGCCCTGGAACAAGTGGTTCAACTGCGGGACGCTCGTCAAGTTCGAGGTTCCCTTCGGTGCCCAACCTGCAATCGCTGCAGCACATGCGCTGCCTCCACACATCCCAAAGCGGGTTAGGGGAGTTGAGGGTTTCGCGTGCCTACATCGGAGTCTCGGTGCCACAAAAGCGGCTAAGGCTGCGACACTTCTTTCGATCGGAGTATTCTCGGGTCATTTCGTAGAGCCTAAGGCCACAGGGACTCAGGGAGCTCTGGGGTTTAGGGTTTAGGGTTTAGGGTTTAGGGTTTAGGGTTTGGGGTTCTGCAAGAGTTTCACTTGAATGCGCAGGCTGGGGCAACCTGCGAGACGAACTTGACGTGCTGTCAGAGTCTTGTGCTACCGCACTCATGATGCCAGCTTACGCGCCGTGCGGGGGGCTGGCTGCTGCCCAATCACAATGCAGCTTTGCAGCTTCGCGCATGCACATGTTGCGTTGCGTGTACTTGGCAAGAGCACTCCCCTTCGCGAAGCAGCCGAGCGGCTTCCTGGTGAAGGTCAGCGCAGCCCAGGCTACAGCAACACGGCCACTAAAGAGGCGCTGCCCGATCATGCCCATGTTGGTCAGGCCCTGTCTCAAGGAGCTCTCGAAAAAAAACATGTCGCATTCTCATCCGGGCTCAACGAGGCGCTGCCTTGGCCTTGCTGACGTAAGTGCCGCCATTGCCCGGCTGCACATCTCCATAGCGGTTCAGGAGTGCGCTGTGAGGTATTCTGGTGCCATGGAAGGCCTCAAATTCCACGCGTCAGGGAGGGGGGCAAGCTAGATAGTGACCATGATAATACGAGCATGCGGTCTTCCGCACGCTTTACAGCGCCTGCGCATGGGTCTGGGCAAAAGCATCTCCGCAATCAACAACCGATCTGGCTCAAAGGATGTTCGCTCCTGGAACCTATCAGGCAGGCTCCATACTGCAGTGCAGGCACGATCCAGGCGTTGTCTAAGTCATTTCCGACGGTCTTGCGGCCCATATCCTTTGATGCTCGTGCCGATGCCGTACAGAGCATTTTTCTTTATCTTGGAACCGTTTTTTCGTAGTGAACTTCGGGAATTGAGGTTTCATGAATGCCGCACTTGGCATCCAGAATGGCACAGTGAAAACCATGTCTGAGAGAACCCCTTGTGCCCCAACCATCAGGGTCCCTGTATAACCCGAGGTACTACAGACGAGTGTTTGTAACAATAAACATAAAGCTCTCAGGTTGATAATGCACTAGGAATAATACACTTCTCGAATGATCGAATACTAGAACATTAGAAGCACGGAATAATGAAATAGTATCCTGAAGCCTCGAGATTGAGCCAGGTGTCACCCAGCTCTACGTTGGGGACTGGTTGGCCCCCTTTCCGTAGCTCCATGAGGAAGGCGTGCGCCCCACACCTCCAACCGAGAAAGCACCATGGCGATTAGGGTATTAGGGTTTAGGGGTCTATCATGAGGATTCTACTACGTTGGGGAATATTCGGGGGTCCCCTGTTTGGGGACATGCCCAGAAACTCTAGACACGTTTGGTCTCTGCTGAGTCTGTGGCGGCATTTCGCTTTCCACTTCATCGGCCTCTTGCCAGCGACGCGGAGATCTGCTACCACCACTGCAAGCTCGCCAACCAAGCCCTGCGAAATCCAGTTCTTGTGCGCGCCAGCCTTGCTTTCGGAAGAGTTGACGAGTATTGCGCGTACTTGATAGGTGCTAATGGGCGGCTTGTGCAACTTGCTACAGACAGTTTCGGCTTCTCTCTCTCGCTCTCTACAGATTCGCGTTGGCACACGACTGGAAGTCAAGAAATGTGAGCATACCGGCCACGGTCAATTCTTCCAGTCCAATCAACCTATGCTCCTTAAACCGTCCGTATACCCTTCGTTTGGGCAGGGCATGCATTCGTTTTGCTTGACGTTTACCACGAAACATTGATGGACATGCTCTACCAGATAGCCTTGTCCGCTTCTATCGAACGTAGAAGGCGTGCAATGCAGAACCCCAAGCTGAAAAGCACATGTAGCACTGCACTTGGTACGGTGACACTGTGCGGTTCTGGAGGCTGTGCTCACCTACAACCTGCAAAAGTCTGCGAAGGGTCTGCCAGCAAGAAACGTCGGATGTCGTGAGGACGAACTCCCTGGAAGCGTCCTTTGCTGGAGTGATGTAGCAGATTCTGCACGCAAACCGAAACTCCGGCGTGGTCAGGACAGAGCTGGGCACCGATCATCCCACTCCGCAATGGTGTTGACAACTCCACCACCTGCATCTGGAAGCAACTGGGGCTCATGGTGAGGGAAAGGGTACAGTGTACCCTAAACCCTAAACCCTAAACCCTAAACCCTGAGAAAGAACATCCAGTTCAAGGGGCGGGGAGTGGGGGCCCATCTTTACCATCTCTCTGCGCTGGCTTGTGGGCCGCGGGCTATCGTCGGTTTGAGGAACAAACTGCATATTGGCTGACGTTCCTACTTCGATGGCCCGTGGGTTCGATCGGTGCATACCGGTGTAACACCCTAAACCCTGAACCTTAAACCCTAAACCCTAAACAACCCAGCTGTCAAAGTCTGAATTCTCGCCAAGCAGCTGTTGACACCGGCAAGCTTCTCGGTCAGGCCGAAGCATCCCAAGAGGCCCTGCTTAGGGTTCAGGGTTTAGGGTTTCGGGTTCAAGGTTTAGGGAAGAAAACAAAACAAGCAGAGTGCTGCAAACTCAGGCCGTGTTGAAGCTTTCTCGCCTCCTGCTGGAAGTCATTGAGCCGGGCAACTTGCTGGTCGTTTCCAACCTAACGGCGACAGGCACTGCGCTTACCGTTAACTGTGACAAACCACATACAACAGGCCGAGGCCCTCTGCGACCCACGAAGAGAATTTCCAAACCGCCTAAACCCTAAACCCTAAACCCTAAACCCTAAGCCCTAAACCCTAAACCCTAAGCCCTAAGCCCTGAGCCACAAAAAGCTCTAAGGAGTTTGCTTTCGTGACTTGCGTATCACAAGGATGGGTATCCTGAACAGCGACCCTAGGGCTGCCCAATCCCCACAATCAGGTCTTGCGCTGTGAACTTAGGGTTTAGGGTTTAGGGTTTAGGGTTTAGGGGTTTAGGGTTTGGGGTTTAGGGTTGGAGGTTTAGGGTCTGTTGCAATCTGCTGTGCCGGCTTCCTAGCCTTTTGTGTGCTGCCGTGTCCCCGTAAGCAAGAATTCAAGGGTTTAGGGTTGAGGGCTTAGGGTTAGGATGGGCGAAACGGGGTTTCAGCTGTGAGATGCGGAGTGGATACCTACCTCGAGAGAACTTAGGTTTTTCAAGATTGCCAATGCAAAGGACCCTAGTTTTTGAGAAGTAACGCCATGTGAATTGCAGCCCAGTCGTAAAACCGGTTAAGAACCCAGAGTCGACTTCTTTGTAGGTTCCCTCAGAGCCTTATAAGGAGCTTTATACCAAAAACCTACAAAGAAGCAGGTTGTGTGAAAGTGTGCACTAGTTTCTGTACCACGCATCACAGACATGCGGAGAACCCCAGATGTCCGGAGCCGACAAGGGCCGATGTGCTCAAGCTGTGATGCAAATGGGCTTCCGACTGCCAGGACAGATCCCGCGAAGAGGTTGTAGTGCACCTAAGCTTGAAGTTCTAGGGTTTAGGGTTTAGGGTTTAGGGTTCTTTACTTCACCGAGGCATACCCCGCTGGTTCTTAGTATTGGGAATATGGGGAAAGATAGGCGCCTTCTATCCCCTCTATATAACCCGTCAAGGGCTGATACGGGGCATCTGTAATTCTAAACCCTAAACCCTAACCCTAAACCCTAAACCCTAAACCCTAAACCCTAAACCCTAAACCCTAAACCCTAAACCCTAAACCCTAAACCCTAAACCCTAAACCCTAAGAGCCAGTGAGTTGATCGCATCTCAACGAGCGGGAGGCTACCGAAACTGCGCGCCAAGACTCGGTAAATCGGATCCAGAAGCCCGGGCCCAACTTCGGCGCGTGGTGCGCCAAAAGGCGATGTGCCTGTTGGGCCCAAAGCTCTCAGTTTAGGGTTTAGGGTTTAGGGTTTAGGGTTTAGGGTTTAGGGTTTAGGGTTTAGGGTTTAGGGTTTAGGGATTGGGGCTTTCGAAACTGCGCCCAAAGCTCTCAAGGCCCGAAACCCTACATAAGATTCGGCCTTAAAGAACTTGGCGGGGTCATTCTTCAAGAAACCCTAAGCCCTGAATAAGATTATAGGCCTCAAAGAACTTGGCGGGGTCATGCTTCAATAAACCCTAAACCCTAAACCCTAAACTGGGCCCAAAAGCTCTCAAGGCCTTAGAAGAGTAGGCCCCAAAGAACCTGGCGGGGTCATTCTTCAAGAAACCCTAAACCCTAAACCCTAAACTGGGCCCAAAAGCTCTCAAGGCCTTAGAAGAGTAGGCCTCAAAGAAACCCTAAACTCTAAACCCTAAGCCCTAAGCCCTAAACCCTAAACCCTAAACCCTGAATAAGAGGAGGCCTCAAAGAACTTGGCGGGGTCATTCTTCAAGTCTGTGAGTTTCAGGAGGCCGGTCTTCTGCAGCGCACGGAGTTGCTCGGCGCCTGGAAGTTTCGAGCTTGAGCTGCCCAATTACCACACCGGAAGGCCCGCCAAGCTCGTTCCTTTAGGGTTTAGGGTTTAGGGTTTAGGGTTTAGGGTTTAGGGTTTAGGGTTTAGGGACTGCGACCGGAGCTCTCTTCTCATAGCCAAGGTCGCTTCGAATCTTGGACACAGCCTGGCAAGTACAAGCAGGCGCGATCTTGCAGAAAACAGACCGGTGACCCAATGACTAACGGCATCTTACGCGCGGTTTGTGCATGCAAGACTGGTCCACATCGCTGCAAAAGTGGGTACGGCAATGAACCCTAAACCCTAAACCCTAAACCGCGGCCTCTATCCACTGCTGGCGCCACTCTGCGGACACGGCCATGCTCACCGGAGTTCACTCCGCAGAGTGTTTCCGGCAACTTCTAGGAAACTTCAGACCTCCACAAGCGGCGGCTAAATTCCATCTGATATGTATATATATATATATATATATGTGTGTGTGTGTGTATAAATTCATTCATTCATTCATTCATTCATTCATTCATTCATTCATTCATACATACACAAATGTAAATACATATATATATATATATACATATATATATAAAGATATATAGATATATAGAATATATAGAATATATAGAATATATATATATATTACAGTGTATTTGCATTCGTCATTCTTACTCTATGGTTTATGATCTTATACAAACATGTATGGTTTGATCCAGGCATGTGAAGGGCACAAAAGCAGCACCCCTCGAGTACGAAGCGGGAGCCTTGGTCGACTGCAGGGGACCAGCGGCTGCAGAGCCAGTGGCTGCGTGTAGTGAGACTTGCTGTCTTTTTAGTAGGGAATGTGGTGCCCTTTTCCCTTCAACAGCTGTTGATAGCGGGATACAAGCTGCCTATTCCTTCATTCCCTACTGAGAACCAGTAGGGTGAAAACCTGACAACACCTGACAACAGGCCCAGTCTACAAGCAAGCTCTTCAACGGCCTCTGCTCCTTCCGCATCTGCAACTTTGGCACACGCGTTCAGAACAGCGGCCTGGGTTCCGCATGCGATGAACAGGAAACACAGCCATCTCGAGAACCTGCGCGGTTGGTCCGTGCAGCGCCCGAGGCAAGGGCATAGCAAACCTTTGCTGGCAGTCGGGCGACAGGTTCCGAGATTTTTTGAGCGCAGCATGTGCTAATGTGGCACTCTCACCCATGCATGAGACTCCCACCGCGTCCACTGGTAGGCCTGACGCCTCCGCCTCGTTTGCGGCTCTTTTGCAAGCAACATGTCCCTGGCAATTTTAACCAACTGCTGTTGTTACGGGGGGTTCCGATATCCTTTTGGTAGGAGCATGAAGAGATCGCAATTTGTGGCAGAAGGATGCACAAAGTTGAGTTGGCGGCCCGGGGAAACATAATCTGATTCCCCTATATAACACCTAGATACACCCTGTATAGTCCTTATATACCGAAGTCGCCCTTAAATAGCCCCTTCCTCATAAGGGCCCTCCTTCGGGTTCGAAGCAAGTGCAAAGGCACAGCAGCTCGCAAACCGCCTGCCTCGTCAAGCCAGAGCTGAGCTCGATGTAGCCTTGCTGTAGACCCTAAACCCTAAACCCTAAACCCTAAACCCTAAACCCTAAACCCTAGACCCTAGACCCTAGACCCTAAACAGCCTAAACCCTAACCTTTTAGCTTCAGCTTCGCACTTTGGACACTCTTTCGGGCCATCGGAGCCTGTTAGAGAGCTTTCGGGGACGTAAGCCTAGGGTTTCGGGTGTAGGGGAAGAAGCTTCCCCTAAACCCTAAACCCTAAACCCTTTTTGCAACAGGCTTCGCAGTTCCTAAACCCTAAACCCTAAACCCTAAACCACCCTAAGCTTTGGTTGAGAGCATGGCTGGCCGGCATTGGAGGCCGCGTGAATCAACGAGTTGTAACCTCGGTCTGCCGTTCGGCGCCGAATCCTGCTAAGATGTAAAACCTGATCGGGTTTAGGGTTCAGGGTTAAGGGTTTAGGGTTTCGGGGAAGCCAACATGTAAAACCTTATACTAATAGCTTGACATATTGGAACTTGATATCTTAATGTATGAATACGTTCATATTTGGATAGATGTCGAAACAGAAGTACAGATGTTTCCGTATTGATATTCAGACATATATATATATATACATATACACATATACATATTGTGTGTGTACAAACACATACATATGCATACTCATACGTATATATATATATACACACACACACGTAATTAATGAATACATATATATATACACATAGATATACATATATACCGATATATACACACACACACTGAATGTTAATGCTAAGCTGATGGCCTGGCCGATGCCATGCCACTAGACCAAATAAGCCCGCTGCACGCCAGGTCTGGGACGATCTGCACACGAAGAAACCCCCAGGGTTTGGGGTTTAGGGTTTAGGGTTTAGGGTTTAGGGCACGACGCACGAGTCACTGGTCAGCTCAAACCTTGTGAGTTTTGGCAAGGCAACAAGCCTTGGCATCTTGCATGGTCCGAACACACCGCTCGGCCCTGGGCACGTTGCGTGATGGCGCGGGCACGTTGTGTGATGGCGCTCGTTACATGTGTTGATACATTATTACATAAATTAATACATTAACATGCTGATACATTATTACATACACTAATATACTGATACATTATTACATAACTCAATATACTGATACATTTCTACATAAATTAATACACTAATGCGTTGTCACCAGCAGGCAGGCTCGGACATGTCAAAAGAATGGCAGCCTGTCGATGTCGCCTGCCCGAGCGAAGGCATAGAGCGCAGTGGAGTAGAAGCCCTTGGGAAACATGCTCTGCGCACCTGACCTCCAGTGATTTCTGTCAAGCTGAGCTCAAGTCAACATCCAGGGGCACCCTGTCCTGACCGGAACGCAGTACCATCAGGCGTGGGGAGACAGCTGCATCACAGGCATCTCAGGCAGTCATTCTGCGAGCATCGCGCTTTTTGACAGGACGCTTCGCCTGTGACGAAAGGAGGTTTTGCTGCCTATTTGTTTTTTGCAGCCTTGCGGACGCTCACACAAACTAAGGACAAGGACGCTCACTCAGTTGAGCATGTTCCAATGGTGTAACCCTCCTGAGTTCACTCGTCTTCGTCAGGACTGGCCCATCTACTTGCGACCGGACAGTCCTCAAAAACCCTGGCAGGTGTGCTTGGCGAGAGCGGGGTGTGTCTTACAAGCATGTCATTCCAGGTATTCTTGGTCCCTGCCCTAAAACCAAGCGCAACTGGAACAAATGCCTGGTGGTGTTGCACCTTCTTCGTGGCCTGATATGTCGCGCATGTCTAGTCACTTCGCGCCATAACCACCGGCACCCTTTATGTACATCTTGCTCATCTCAACCACGGCCGCGTCCAGCGCATCAGCCACTGCTGGGTCGACATTTTGCTTGCACTTCATCGCAGCAGTCATGACAGTGTGATGCGCCTGGAGAGCAGCCACATACTCAGCATCGCTGGTGAACGGTGTCTTGGGATCACTCACGGGCTTCACACGTTGGCACAGGCAGTACTCCGACATGAGCGAGATGATCTTGCCTGCATGCTCCTCCTTCGTGTTGACCCAGCGGGTCATCTGGTTGATGTTGAGGGCATTCATGTTGGCGGACAGCTCCCCGATTTGGACCATGGCCTTCTTTATGGTGGCCACCGCCTCCTTAACATCAGCCACCAGCCTAGTTCATTGTTGGGATAATATTCAAAATTTAAACTGTTGTTCCTTATTGGGTTTAAGTACCATTAAAATGTAAAATGCTACCCAACTATGACAAAGCAGCTTGGGATCATCAAAAATTCCGCAAGGAACCTGGCAATGTCCGCCCCGCAAGCGGAGCACCAAGTGGAGCGTAGACTCCTCAACCCAAAAAATGGGGGTTTAGGAAGAGTTAGCGGGGGGGGGGGGGGGGGGGGGGCCCTAAATAGACGCCATAAAAATAGTAGCTTTCCCTTACAATAAGGACCCCAAGAAGGAACTCAGAACTTCAGAACTCCCGCCCGAATTTTCCCAAATAATGGACAATCCAACATCCCCTTGAGGCCACCAAATCTTGCCAAAGAACCCGGCCTCCTGTTTTCGAAGGTTGCTACTATAGAACATGATAGTTTAGGGTTTAGGGTTTAGGGATTCGGGTTTAGGGGATTCTTAAGAGGCAGGTAACCTGCAAAGAATAGGCCTGTCGGGCTCGGTACCCTGGTTTGGACTTGACCAAGCAAAATCAGCCAAGTATCCATCCAGTCGGGTTCACTTTACCTTAAGAACCGAAAGCCTACTTTTCGCAGGCTATTTTTTTCATGCCCTTTATCAGATTCTTTGGCCAAGACCACCTGGTAATTACAATCGGCGCCACCTTGTTCCTCGAACCCTGATTTTCCAAAAGTTTCCGGTATGAACCAAGAACGACTGGCCACTGACTGCCAACGAAGAATTTCAAGACCGGAACCCCCCCCCCTAAACCCTAACCCCTAACCCCTAACCCCTAAACCCTCCGAATTCTCAACCCATGGATTCCCTAAGCCCGGCGAGTCCGACCCGCAACTTCCTGTGTGCAAACCTTCAACGGCCTTGAAGGCAGAAACTGGAGCGACAAAGCAACATGGAACAAAGTCTAACATGTGTAACGGTGTAGAGTTTAGGGTTTAGGGTTTAGGGTTTGCAGAACATGTAGAATGCCGAGGGTTTAGGGCTTTTCTTGCCACCCGCCTAGCCGACGCTCTCGGGCCACTCCGCGGGGACTAGATCGGGGAAGCCGGACGGGTTTAGGTTTAGGGTTTAGGGCTCCTAAACCCTAAACCCTAAACCCTGGAAGTGGAGCTCCTTCTGGATGTTGTAGTCGGATAACGTCCTGCCATCCTCCAGCTGTTTCCCAGCGAAGATCAAGCGCTGCTGATCTGGAGGGATACCTTTTCTCTGGGGCTCCGAGTATGGGCCCTTGGGCCCCTTGTTATACAAGCCTTATATGCACTATATATATATATATATATTTTTTTTTTATTTAGTTATATACACTATACATAATGTGGTTCCACCGTATATTGTCAAGCAGGCCATGTCTGGCAAGCGCAGCGCTCCGGCTATCAACGCGAAGCTCAGAATGTGTCTCGCAAAGCAGGCAAGCTGTGTTCTTCCACCTGCAACGATGCAGAGAACTGGCCTCAAAACCCTAAACCCTACACCATGAAAAGTCCAAGGAAGCCAGGGTACCTTCCTTGTCTTGGATCTTGGCTTTCACGTTGTCGATGGTGTCAGAAGCTTCCACATCCAGGGTAATCGTCTTGCCCGTCAGCGTCTTCACGAAGATCTGCATCGCACCAGCCTTGTAGTTGGAGAAGAAGGCGCTACGTCAGCTTCGGACTGTCTTGAACCCACTTGAGCTGGGAAAAACGTCACCACCACATATCAGTTCCCTCAACAAGAGCGGACGCCTCATAACTGTAACCCCAGGAAAGGGGCCCTAGTGTTAGAGAAGTGACCATATATCAGAGATGCTCCATGCCATGAATCCGCCACGCCAGCTCTCAGCCGAGTTGCTGAGTATATACCCTAAACCCAAAACCCTTTTGACCCCGCGAGCTCTAGACCCTAAACCCTAAACCCTAAACCCTAAACCCTAAACCCTAAACCCTAAACCCTAAACCCTAAACCCTAAACCCTAAACCCTAAACCCATACCCTGGCCAAAAAAACCAGGCGAACCTCTTCAATTCTGGCAGGGGTGCCTCTACCCCCAAAGGTTAAGGGCTCTCGACTCGGCCACCAATAAAAAACCCTAAACCCTAAACCCTAAACCCTAAACCCTAAACCCTAAACCCTAAACCTCATGCTCAGCTACTACGGAAACTTTCACAAAACAGGGCCCCGCCTGCGTGGCCGACTCCACAAGCTCCTCAATTGTAGACGCGCTCAGTCTGCGCCGGCCGGCCGCCTGGAAAGGGCTTAGGGTTTAGGGTTTAGGGTTTGGGGTTTGGGGTTTGGGGTTTGGGGTTTGGGGTTTGGGGTTTGGGGTTTGGGGTTTGGGGTTTATCAGGGCTCAGGGCTGTGCTTTGAGCAGAAGTGGCGTGGTGAGCTTCGTCGAGCTTGCAATGCGCAACAGAAACCGGATTTTGCGGGATGCCCACTGGATGGATGTGATAGAAATTTCATGCTGCTTCAGATCGGCAAGGCAAAATGTGCGGTCATAATCGCTCCCTTGAAATTGACCGCTTCCAGCGACCTTGACAAGGGTAGTGTAGGTGACAACATCTGGCATCAGACCTTAGCGCAGCCGTGAAAAAACGCTTGCGTCGAATACTTGCCAAGACTATGCTTGACATCTCAGGGCACAGCGGAGATCTCCGATTCGAGTCATGACCTGTTTCTTGTCTCACGTGCGCTTGCAATCTGCTTGCAACTCTCAAAGTCTCCCTAAACCCTAAACCCTAAACCCTAAACCCTAAACCTTTAAACCCTGAGCCCCTAAACACGCCCTGACTCAAACTGACTGAACTGAGCTCCGGGCAGCCATGGCACCTTTGAACGCACAACTCCAAATTCATGCAAGGGTTTAGGGTTTAGGGTTTAGGGTTTAGGGTGTCAGACCCCACCCAACTTCAAGTGCTTCCCGCACTACAATCACGAAGTCCATCTACTTGGGGGGTCGGGGGTACTCAGAAAAGGGGTTGTAAGTAACCAATATACCTATAATTCCCCTACTTGCACGTAACCCTACTTAACAGTACCCTTGAATCAAGTATAACCACAGTTACCCTGCTTGGAACCCCACTTACCCTAAACCCTAAACCCTAAGCCCTAAGCCCTACTTACAAAGCACCCTGATGAACCTCCAAGGGCCTTCAGCATCGCCGGACTCTGCGACGTGATCCAGCTGAGAATTCAAGCTCCCCAAGTTGGCCTGCCGCGAAAGCCAAGGGTCTAGGGTCTAGGGTCTAGGGTTTAGGCTTAGGGTTTAGGGTTCAGGGTCTGTTTTGCGCCAGGTGGTCCCCGTGTCCAAGTTTTCGAAGCAGGCTGCAAGGACTGCCGACGTGATCAACACAGCAACTGCAAGTCGAACAGAACCCAAAACCCTTGTTTTGACCCCCGCGAGCTCTGTTGGACCCAACCCTAAACCCTAAACCCATGCGACTTGAGGCGACGGAGGTCATGGAAGCTTTGCGCGCCTCCAACCTGGATGCCAGCTCCAACCTGCGATGTGTTGCATGTCTTATCTGCAACCCTTATGGAGGACCTTCGGGGTATATGTAGGGGCTTCTTAGGCATATGGGGAACCCTAAACCCTACACCCGAAACCGAACTAAACCCTTAATAGGGTATATGCAGAGGATATAGGGGGGTTAGATAAGCTTCTGGCCATCTCTGGAGCTGATTGAGGCCGGGACCATTGGGATGCTTCTTCTGGCTGCAAGCTCGACCTCACGCGAGGCTGTGGGCGAAAACCATGTGAAACAATGGGGCTTAAGGGTTAGGGTTTAGGGTTTAGGGTTTAGGGTTTAGGGTTTAGGGTTTAGGGTTTAGGGTTTAGGGTTTAGGGCTATGACGTGAAGGTTCTCCTCCGGGCTGTCACTGAACCCTCTCGCAGAAGCTCTCTCTTTCGCGCTCGAGAGAGCGCCCCAACTTGGGGGTTTCCGACATTAGAGGTGCCTCATTGGGGTCCGTATTCTAAGGGAATCCTACTACTTGGGGGTCCATTCCTAGGGGTCCTTATTATAAGGGAATCTGCAGAATCCTACAACTTGGGGGGGTTCCATGATAGGGGTCCCTTATTTTCGTCAACTCCCAGTTTGAGGCAGCCGCCCCGGGCAACGGCCGAAGAGCAGCTGGGCCTGAAAACAGCCGAGTCCATGGTGCGTGTTCCCGTCCTTCCTGGGAAGTTTGATGGTGTACTTTAAGGGTTTAGGGTTTAGGGTTAAGTAGAACCCCCCAAATACTACCCTATACTACTACTGGGTCTTCTTAGGAACCCTTGAGGGGATCTAATCTGTCCCATTGGGCTTCGTATTGGGCATCCACGGCTCGAGCTCTTCCCCTATAGGAGCCCCACCTCATCCGTAATGCGCAAGTCCCCGTTCAGCGCGCGCTTGGCAATTCGAATCCCTGGAACCTGCATCCGGCTTTGCAGCAGAAGAAAAGAAAAAGGAAAAGAAGCTTGTGCCTGCACACCGCCACGACTATCAAGACAACCTGTGATTGCAGCGTACCTCTGCCAGGCAGTATAGGTCGTGCGGCAAGCCGCTGGTGCCTCATGATTCAGGACAGCAGGCGGTCTGGTCATGCTGTCCCTGCACAAGGCATATGGTCAGCTCTCAAAACTTACGGCACCTTCTTTGGATACCCAAAATATCAGGGACCGCCTTATAATCGTAACCTCAAAAGGGACCCTAGATTCGAGAATCCCCGAATAAGGTCGTGACTTTCCTTTGGCAGCAGAAGAATACTTTGCTCTTCCTCCTAGCAGTGGCGGTCTTCCACAATGCGTGGTGTCGTTTAGGGTTTAGGGTTTAGGGTTTAGGGTTCAGGGTTCAGGGTTTGGGTCTAGGGTTTAGGGCTTAGGGTTTAGGGTTTAGGGTTCAGTGAGCCTGCAGCACCAGGCGAGTCGAGCACGTGGAAAGCAGAGTCGGGCGAAATCCCATGAAGTCCTGTCGACAACAAAGGGAGCGCTGGACTTACGACGGAGGCTTCGGCTGCGTCATGTTTTGGGAGGCACCCCCCTGCATGCTAACAGTTCTTCATGGGTCTTCTAGTACACCCCCCCCCTAAAGTGTAGTCCCTATTCAGGACTGCTAGCATAAGGGGGGAACATCCTAAGTCATGTTGCAACACAAAGACGAACTCAGCAGATCTCAAAACATGTCCTCACAGGACGCGATGAGCTGTGCCAGGATGGCATCTGTAATGGGCTTCCACGCCCAAGCGGCGGCAGGCCTGCGAAGGCCCAAGGTCGTCCCCGAAAGAAATCCGGAAGCCATAAGCATGAAGACTGCAAGTGAGGGCTCGGATGCCCTATGCCCTATACTACTATACTTAGAATCTCTCCTAAGGTCTGTGGACCATACCCTAAACCCGAATCAAGGTGGGAGCCTGGGCCCGCTTGTGAGATGAGGGCGATCCTCCTGCAACAGCCGCTATACCGCTCTGACAAACTCCGAACAAAGTGGGCTTTAGGGCTTAGGGTTTAGGGTTTAGGGTTTTGGGGCCTAGGAGGAGCTCCTTGCAAAACGCTGCCAGGAAGAAGCCCTCAGAGTCGAAGGTTTGAGGCCAAACCTGACTTGAAAAGTCATGACAGAGGGACTGTCTGGAGGATTCAAGAAGCTCAGGGTTTTAGGGTCCAGGGTTTAGGGTTTAGGGCCCCTTCTTTGATAACGCGGCGCATCAGCAATGTCCTGACTTTGAGAAACAGGCGAGTGGTCACTAGTTGCAGGGCGCCGGCCACCGCCTCGAATTCGGAGGACTTTGCTAACAGTTGTCCGGCAAAGGTATGAGGCACATCACAAAGCCGCGCCATGCAAATTTCAGCAGATAGCCGCCAGTCGCTCTGGGGAATTGGCACCAGAAGGAGTCGGTGAAGGGGTACACAAAGGCAAAAGCAGCGTGCCGCAGGAAGAAGAGCATCGCACGGAGTCTGCTGCACAGGGATGTCACAAAAGATATCGGCCAGGCTTCCAAGGATCTGAGATGAAAGACGCGATGCCCACATGCATAGGAGTAGAAAGGCCAGCCTTGCGGGAGATCCCCTGCCAGGACGCGCTTTCGCAACAGGATGGCGAGGATAGCCTGCTCCGGCGTGTGAAAGAGGCAGAGCGGGTGTGTGTATGGGTTCGGCAAGGGACTAATCACCATCTTGTTGGCGCACCACTGCAGCCACTCTGCCATGATTGCATCTGCCAGTGGAGACTTCCGCACCAAGATGCGATTCACACACACGCAGGGCGCATACGAAATCTGGAAGGTGTTTGCATCCATCAGGTCCAGAGTCAGCGCCTTGCAGTGGTTCCGAATACGCTTCCAGACAGCATCCTCCAGGGGCACGAAGATGTCAGCTCGTTGTAGGAGATGTGAGCAGGTCGACGGCAAGTCCGAGAGACCCTCCTTGTAGTCCCTGTACTTTCTCACGTTGGCATCCATGAACAGCAACATGTCGCCTGGTTGAAGCTGAGACAGGACTTTACATATCACCAAAGGCTTCCAGGCATAGTAGCCGAGCTTGGCTGCATGAGGCAAGAGCTCCATCCCTGGCTCCTTGCATTCCTTTCCGAGTGTTTGGCAGTGCTTTCTATAGTAATCATCCTCCTGCAGCAGGCGCGGGGTGTAGGCAATCAGCCGCACCCCTGCCTGCGCAAGAGAAGTCTGTAGCTCCGACACTGTCTCTGTCAAAGGCAAGCAAGCGTCATGGGGAGGACCCTCGGTAAAGAATGTCACCACTGTCAGGCTGGGCTTATCTGATCCGCCCATCCAGCTGTACCGGCGATGCGACTACTGTTTGGCGGGCCTCGGCTTGCACAACGGCCCCGTCATGGCTTTGCCACAAGATGAGCCACTTCTCTGACCGGTGACTACAGAAGAAAGGGGCAGCCAGTCGCAACGGAGCGCACACACGCGTACATGCGTTACCTAAGCTACGTGACATGCACGGTGGTACGAATGGTTCAAGCAAATCAAGTACTTATGTTCCTACTTGGGATGTTCCCCCCCTTATATTCTAACAGTCCTTAAAAGGGATTATAATAGGGGGTACTATAATCCCTAGTAAGGACTGTTAGTCTAAGGGGGAACATCCCAAGTTCCTACAGCTGTCCATCTCAGCTGGCCAGCGCAACATGAGGCTCTGGCCCGGAGCATGTGCTCGGGTTGAGGAGTGCCTCAAGAGGGGGCTCTGAAGGCCTTCCCGCGACTGCAAAGGTTGCTTCATGCTCAAGCTCGTGCCTTCAACAGCAATACCTGTGAGGTCAGCCATGCGCCGTGGCCTGAGAAGTCATGCCGATGGCTCGGGCGCGCAGGTTCACAGGCAAGTGTCGCCCAACGCCAATTGGCGACTATAGGGCTCGTGCAGCGCACCATTCCTCAAAAGGTGTTCACACACCTGGGCACTGCTCACACACATGATTCAACACGTGTTTCACGAATAGAGACCCTGACATGTCCACACACACTCCCCGAGATGTGCACTGAAACCCACACAATTCCATGTGATATACACACACACCTGACCTACCTTGGGCGCTACCATCACTACTGTGCCTCGGCCACTAAAGATACATGCTGCGCAAATTCCGGGTGAACGAAGTTGCTTGTTGAAACCAGGCCTCCTCATTCTCTGCTCCATTCAAGGTACAGGTAGAGTACACCAGCCTGAGCTGCATGTCAGCATGCATCAATTCAGAGGGCCGTGCCGTGCGCAAATCTCATCCGCGCTGGCTCACCCTGAGGAGTGGACACACCGCCGGGCCTTGAATGCTCAGTTCATTGAATTCTATATTTGATTTCTATCTATGGTTATAAACAGTTGTACTGCCAATCACACTAAAAACTTGAGGGGAAAAGCTACTCCTTCTTCTTGCTCCCTACCTGCTCTCCCCCCCTTTCTCCCACCCCCATTCCTACGAAGGACACTGCTTGCGATTTGTGCTTTTCGGCACCCATTTTTCACAAAAACTGTTGATTTATCCGAAGCCCCATGCAGCCATGCTAAGAACGCGACAGGAAATGTTTCAATGCAAACATGCGCTCATACAGATCTCAAGAGCTATCCAACACACGCGATTGGGACCCTAAACCCTAAACCCTACACCCTGAACCCTGAACCTTAAACCCTAGGAGAAGGAGGACGTGAGAACGACATGCTTTGAGCAACCAAGCGCGCTCTTGAGATAAAAAGGGCGTACAAAAGCACGTGCTCATACAGACCGCGATCTAGGACTCGAGATCCTCGCGTAACCCGCAAATACACCCCACAGGTGTTTGTAACATGCCTAGGCCGAATAGCCGAATAGCGTTTCGCCGCGGATTTTTTTGAGCAACGCACGCTCACTCACGGAGACCACGATCCACGCCCACGCAGCATCACGATAAGAACGCGTACGATCGCGCGCTCGTACAGGCCGTGATCTACACCTCAAGATCTCCCTTGACACTTCGCCTGGCGGCTCTGCTTGGAGGTTCAGGGGCACTCATAAATGGGGTTATAAGTAATGTTGAACCTTGTTTAAAGTTGGCCCCCCCCACCCCCCGGAACAGTCGAGACTGGATTTGTCCCTGTTTAGACGCTCCCGGGGTTTATGATTTCAGTAGGGAGGAGTTTAGATACGATTAAAAGGGGCGTAGATGCCCCGCAATGGAATTTTCTTACGGCGCCCGGGCGATGAGCCTTTATTGAGGATCCCACCGCGCACCCCCAAACAGTCAGGGTGTCCTGAATAACCCAGCCAAATTGACTTTATAGAGGAGGCCCCTACTAAACCAGGTCCAACATTACCGTCAATAACCCTAAACCCCAAACCCCAAACCCTAAACACGTGTCTTTACCTCCCAGGCGGGGAAAAGTGAGCAGAATCAAAGCGCAACAGTCCCTAGACCTGCGCAGGATGTCAAGGTCGACATCCGACTACCACAGAGACAGGTTGTGAAAGCCACCCGTGTTTAGGGTTTAGGGTTTAGGGTGGAAACTCTTGAGGCAAAACCTTTGCACTTCTTCGTCTGCCGTAGCTCGCGCATCCAAGATCCACACTTCAGAGCTTTCCACGCACTGTCCACGAGCTCAATCTGCAGATCGGCCTAAGCAAGATGCAGATTGCAACAGGCAATGGGAACAATGGCTCTGCAAATGAGTTGTTCTCCAAATTAGGGTCCCTTCTGGTGGATCCTTTTATCAGGTGGCGTACAAAAATAGGGTCCCAAAAAGAGGCCCTAGTTTAGAGAACCCTAAACCCTAAACCGCGCACGCAAGAGGTCTTTTTCTTTGTGTCTCTGCGAGGCGGCATAGATCCGGCAAATCGGCGTTCCTCAGATTTGACAAAGAGTCGATCCGGGCCGGGCCTCTAAGCCCAGAGTCTTCAGTCTTCGGATATGGCTTAGGGTTCAGGGTTCAGGGTGTTAGGGTTTAGGGTTTAGGGGTTGTGCAGGGTTTAGGGTTTACGATAGAATCGCAACAATGAACAACGGCGATACTAGCCCGGTACTGCGTCATGCCACCGAGAAACGGCGAGGCCTTTGATCGGCAGGCGGACGCTGAAGATGCCACCGGCATATCCTCAATAATAGCCGGAGACAAGGGATGAGGGTCTCGAAACGACGGATTTTGAGAAAAAACCAGGCCGGTGACTATCCTAAACCCTTTTTGCTTCAGGGCTCCTGTGGTAGCTTGCCTGCTATCTATCCTAAACCCTAAACCCTAAATGGAAAGTTGCTCCTTCTGGCAGCTCCTCCCGTCGCTTCTTCGAAACTCCTGAGCTAGCGGCTTGGACGGTTCTTAAAAACATCCCTGGATTCAGGACAGCCAGGCACAAGAACCCTTAGGGTTGGGGTGCAGGGTTTCTAGGGCTTCTTGGGGGTCTAGGGTTTCTAGGGTTTCTAGGGTTTCTAGGGTTTAGGGTTTAGAGACAAGAGCCCTAAACCCTAGGCCCGAAACCCTGTCAGGCATGTGCAAGGCAACTTCGTCCATGACGAAAGCAAAATGGGTTTGTCACATAGACCCAAAGGGTTTAGGGTTTAGGGTTCAGGGTTTAGTCTCAAGAGTTTCTCAAGTCAGCTTCTTGCCGTCCAGGTTCTCTGGTTGATAAACTCCTTGGTGGCCAGAGTGGCACAGCATAACTATACTCCCCTTAGAAACTTAAAGGGTTTAGGGTCTAGGGTAATCCCATACTTTCCTTAGAACCTTAATTCAAAAACACTACCTTCAATATCCTCTTGGGATTCTATATGAGCAAAAATTTAACTTTAAAAGAAAAGGGGGGATATAGGTAGCAGTTCCAACAAGTACTTCTCTGGTTGAATGGTTTCTGGTCCCCTTGTTAGCGAACATGAAGATGCAATGGGCATATCCCAAAATCCCAAAATCCCTAAGACTATCTCCTTCAACACCCTCCAACCCTGAATACACCCCAAAAAAAAATAATCCTTACTAAAGGAACCTCCCGAAAAGGGTACCCCCATTTTCGGAACCCCCGCAAATCGAATTCTAAGGTGCGGAGGCATCGGTTATGTACATGGTCTGGAGCTCGGCTCCACCAAACGTCGCGCACGTCGTGTAGCGGACAGGGGCTTTGACGATCATGCTCACGGAGCCGTCGGGCAAGTAGCGCACTACTCCTGAGATTCTGTTGCGTGCTTTGCACTGGGCCCCCTGCTCAGAGCCGGAGAAGTTTCAGGTTCGGGCCCCAGAAAAACCCTAAACCACTAAGGTCTGTTGAGGTTCTGCCTCCTCCGAACTCTGCATTCCATAGACAGCCCTCCGCATCAATAAGCGAACCATCGGGTCGACCAGCCGCATTCACGAAAACCTGACTGGGCCCCGCCATTCCTGCAGGTCGGATGTAACACACACTCCTTGGGATGTTCCCCCCTGATACTAACAGTCCTTAGTAGGGATTCTAGTACCGCCTATTTGAAATCCCTATGAAGGACTGTTCGTGTCAGGGGGAACATCCCAACGCACTCCCTCCAAATTTTAAGACTTTAAGACAGATTACTCCGGCAACATGGGCAAATCGATTCACTTGTCCTGTGGATGCATAGTCAGCGAAGCGCCAGATGGTGTTTGCCTTGGTTGCACTTACTGCTACGCCCTGGAAAGCGCTCTGGAGCGTTGCTTCTTGCTGTCCAAGTATTTGCATCCTACGCCAACACAGAGACGCAGTGACATGCAGCCACGCGGGCTGTCCCCACTGGCTCACTGTCAGTTCCGCGGAAAGCAGGATCCGCAAAGAACATGCCAGCATCGGAGAAGCCTGCAGCACTCTAGCAGAGGGGCAGCAGGCCAAGCTGTCAGAGGAGAAATGGCCAATGCGTTGGTGGTCAGTGCTCCGGACGAGACATTCTTCTCGCGGACACCAGAAGGCCAAGGAGCAAATCGAGTTGCCACAACGGACCTGGGCATGCTGCAACTGTCAGGCCTGAAATTCCTGATGCTGAATACCGCAGTGTACGCATTGTTAGGTTGGTTCTTAGTAGGGAATGAGGGAATGAGGGCCCTTTATATACCCTTTAAAGGATTATATAGGATACTTCTTCCCTCATTCCCTACTAAGAACCAGCCAGTAGATTAAGTGTATCCGAGTGACGTTCTCAAGGAGTCTCTCGACAGTCAAATCCGTGTTCAGGCCTTCATGCAAGCACGGTGGTTGCCAAAGTGCTCTTGCCATTGACTGCTTGCTACGATGTACCCTAAACCCTAATCCCTAAGCCCTAAACCCTAAACACTAAACCCAACCCTAAACACAACTGGGCGGCCCGGCGGTACACAGCAGAGATAGGCACGTCCCCCTTGTCCACGCAGCCGCTAACAACAAAACGGCCCTGGCAATCCACCCGCCCATCATTGAGACGTGTCCGCAGGCCGGGTTCGAGGTCCTGAGGGTTCAGGGTTTAGGGTTTAGGGTTAGGGTTTAGGGTTTAGGGTTTAGAGTTTAGAGTTTTCTGCTTAGGGTTTAGGGTTTAGGGTTTAGGGTTTAGGGTTTAGGGTTTAGTGGAGGACACTTGCGTCATCGGCGCTAAGAATTTGCAAGGGGCGACAATTTAAGTGTCCTCGAAACCCTAAACCCTAAACCCTAAACCGGTCCTCTGTGATCGGAGTAAGTTCCCCAGAATCGACATCGAGAAAGGAAAACCCGGTCTCCAACGCGATGATGTAGCCGCCTGGGGATGCAACCCCTTATACTAACAATCCTTAATAAGGATTATAGGGTTTAGGGTTTAGGGTATATAGTACCCCCGATTCTAATCCCTACTAAGGTCTGTTGATGCATCCAAGTAGCCATCAGCCCCGGTAAGGCAGAAGGACCCCGGGCGACTCGGCAAGTGAAAACACTGCGCGTTTCCGGCCGGTCCCAGCGGGTCATGCTGCCAGAAGCTCTTGCCCTGAATGTCAATCCAACACAGCTTGTGTCCTCAACTCAACAAACTGTGCGTGCAAAATGTGCGTGAGCTTATTCAAATATCACATACCTGTCGCTCGCGGTCTACAAGCATTAAGTTACATGCAAAGCACTGGCGGAAACATGTTACAACAAAAAGGGATGCAATGGTGTCCCAGGCACGCATGTCATCCCACAGCGGGCACTCACCCAGTTTGTTCCCACACGGCACACACAGCTCGGCCTGAAACTCGAAGTGATCTGAAGGCTCAGAAGAGGCCATCTCGCATTTCAGGAGTGTCTCTTCCCGTTATTGTGCTTGTTACGTGACTTGTTACCCTGAAACTACGCACACTGTCCTCCACACAAGCATTCTGCAAAGCTCTTACTTTTCCGGGAGATGCAACTTCTTCCTTGGAAAGGCTGGAGCACAAGCTGGCAGGAACATCTCGCAGGCGGCACTGCAACGCTGTGCTCCCCCCCCCCCTTTTTCTTGCAACTTTCTTGGGGCGCTGTGCTTCCTTGAGTGTCAGAGATCTGGAACGAGAAACATCAACTGCACCTGCCGCTCTCATGTCGCAGCCTTAAGCTGCGCATGCAACTTCGCGGGTACGGGAAACAGCTTCGGAACAGGTCATTTGGCCGGACTCCTATCTGCACAAGGTGAAGAAGGTGTCCCTGAGTTGAATCATCAACGTGTTCAGGACAGATACAGCCCAGGGGCAAGCTTCGTGCAGATACTGCACAGCTGCTGCACTGCCCCCTGGAACCAGTCGGCAAGTGCCGCTTAAAAAAAACGTATGCTTGGAACTGACACATGGCAGCATCAAGTTGTGGTCGATGCCGAAGTTTAGGGTTTAGGGCTTAGGGCTTGGAACCCCCCTCAGAACCGTCGCGTGGTCCCAAAAGTAAAGCCTGGCTTGCCTCGAGATCCGCAATGGGGCCCACGCGTGGTCAGGAGTTCGGGTTTAAGTTGGGATGTTCCCCCTTATACTAACAGTTCTTCATCGGGATTATCATGGGGGGGGGGGGGGGGGGGGTGCTAGAATCCCTATTAAGGACTGTCAGGAAAAAAGGGAACATCCCAAAACGCCCTCCGCGACCCCTCGCCTGCTGGACGGCTGCGCTGGAGTTGTTGCAACTCTTTCGCTCGCGCTTGGCTGCCTCAGCTCAAGAGCGGAAACAGAGATCGCACTTGGTGGTGCAGGCTTCTAAGTGGGGTTATAAGTACCATTAATAACGTTACAACCAATTAGAACGGTCATTATCCCACTGACCAGTACCCGAGTAGAAGCAGGCGTCGCGATGAGGAATTGCGGGCTACAGCGCAGCTACCGCTAAACCTCCACAACTGTGGTGCTGAGCGGCTCAGGGCGCAGGGTATTCGGGTTCAGGGTCTACATTGATAAATACCATTCGCAGGCAGTTCTGAGCTGGTGCTAACCTAGGCCAAGTCATTGCACCAGGAAGGGGCTCATGGCAAGGCCCCGGGCGCTTTCGAACTTGAGCAACTTCCACCACCTGTCAAGTCAGATGCCCTCTCGGGCGCTGATGTGCCTTTCAGCCCTGCCTTCGAGGGTCGCGTGGGCCCTGCATCGCTGCCTCACAAGGCACACACAGAGTCATCGGCCGACCGACCATCGTCACTGGCATGCGATTCCGTCCTGTTGGCAGATGCAGCCAACCGCCCAGTCGCCAAGCCAGGCTGTCATAGTCCCCACGCTGCTGGGAGGCCTGACTACGCTCACAGGAGGTCGTTTGAGGGATCTGCGTCGCACGCCCTCGAATCTCGTTCCTACGACAACGCTACGCTGCCGCCGCCGCAAACCCAACCTGAGGTACAGAAGCTGCCGCTGGCCGCGGGGAGAGGCGAAGCGCCTCGCAATGCTCTGACAGACTCATCTGGATCATAAATCATGAAAACAAGCAGAAACCGCCGGGGGCTGTCAAAGCGTGCTGATTGAAAAAGGGTTGCGCGAGATTCAAGAAGCGTCTGTGGCCTGAGACCAAGCAAGCCAGGCGTCCGTGGCTTCTTTGGAATCCGGCCTGACAAACCCTAAATCCATAACGCTATATGAGACATGACGGCTTTTCTTCAGACATTCTAGAATTCTAAGAATACTCATAAGAATCATATTAAAAATAATAATGCCAACTAATTGTGAGTAATAAACACAATACTAATCACACTAACCATGCCACAAGTCAGCTTGACCAAGAACAAATGATCCTGATGCCTCGGCGTCCGAAACCTCGCCGGGGTGGCTCCTGCAAAGCTGTAGCTTGGCGACCTGAGGCTACGATTTGCTTAGGGTTTTAGGGTTTAAGCCCCCTGAAGAATCAATAATATTCTTCCTCAGAAGGTATGTAGGGATGATTATCTTTCTTTGGGAGGACTTCTTAAGGTCTTAAGCAAATAGTGGGAGCTTCAAAGTGACGTGTGACGACTACGCCATGACTCCGTGCTCTCCAGACGCGAAGCATTGTGTGTTGCCAAGTACGCCCCGACCTGATTAACCCTAAACCCAAAACCCTGAACCCTGAACCCTAAACCCTAAACCCATTTTGCCAGGCTGCCGTCTCTGCGAGGGGCTCTTCTCGACAGAATAGCCTCAAAGCCAGACCAGGCAGTTACTCAGCTCCTGGCTGATGCTGACAGTCTCTCCCTAAACCTTAACCCTGAACCCTGAACCCTAAACCCTGAACCCTGAACCCTAAACCCTAAACCCTAAACCCTCTTGATTATGAGGCTCTGATGCGAAAATGGCAGCTTCTTTCTGTTTTCTATGCCTGGGACAAAGCGACCTTGGATGGTTTCTCACGGTGTGGTGGGAAGTGTCGACCTGCTCTTCCAATCTCTTCAAGTACTTCAATGCCTGCACACGTGGGGAAAATCACTCCAGGCGCAACGCTGGCAACGGCTGGGCCCGTGTTGTTGTACATGCGGCAGCCTGGGAGAAACACAAAGCACTCGCAATTCAGACGGCCGCCCCTTTGTAGACCCTGAAACCCTAAACCCCAAACCCTAAACCCTAAGCCCTAAAACCCTTAATCCGAAACCCTAAGCCCTAAAACCCTAAACCCATAATCCGAAACCCTAAGCCCTAAACCCTCACCCCTGAGAACCTGAGATGCGAGCAGGTCAAGTCCATCTCATTCTGGAGAGTGCCGCTCATGGCCCAACTGCTTGGCTTGGCAGGCGGAGCTGGAGGTGTGGCCTGGCAGAGGGAACCCTAAACCCTAAACCCTAAACGCTAAACCCACAGATGCAGGGCCACCGTTGGCTCCAGCGCCCCCCTTATGCTCAGAGTCAAGGACTCATGGTGCCTTGAGGCCCCGAAATATGTCGAAGCTCTTTGTGGGATTTAGGGTTTAGGGTTTGGGATTTAGGGTTTAGGGTTCGTTCGGAAGCTGATGCTCTTTCTGGATGATGCTAAACGGGAAGCTCGCTTTGTTGCAGTTGTTGTTCTACTCTGCTCGCTCGCACCGTCTGTGCCTGCCTGCATTGCGCATACGCACTGCACGTGCATGAAGCTGCTGCTTTCTTTCAGTTCCCCACCCTTGTACAAGCACCCTGATTCGCCTTCGCACACCCCTGGATGCTCCTTTTCGCAAACTCCAACTTTCGTCGTCGCATCGCTAGTCGCCTGGCCCCCGAAAAATCGAAACGCCCGAAAACCGTCTTAAAAATTTGTCTTCGCTCCACACTTTGTCATCCACATGAAGTTGTGATGTCTGATGGTTCGTGTGCCCCAGTATTTATAACATCAAGCAAGGCCGTTTGAGAACTCACGAGAGAGATGTATTCATTTTCTACTATGGTTGCATGATTCAAATTTTAAAAAACAGCAGCTCGTTTTCTTGTCCTCCTTGCAGCCCGAGGTTGTCTCCCATGATGAGGTCATGCACATTACATGGCAGTAACCACGACATTGTACCTGGTAATGGCCAGGCCCTGGATGTGTTTCCTGGTCACGAAACCTCAGCCCAGCGAAACATTGCGAAGCCAAGGCGGTGAGCTACTCTGGTAAGCTCCGAGCGAATAGTAGATGGAGCCGCAGGCAGGGGGCGTCCTTGGTGGGGGCCACACGTCGAACTTCCATGGAACGTGGCCAATCTAACTGAGCCCAGCACACATGCCTCCTGCCTGGAGCCTTGGAAGAAGGAGGCCACAAACATGCATGAAAATATCTGAGCATATTTATCAACATGACCATGGACCTCTCTTTCCCACAGCTCTGTGCGGAGAATCGCAGACCCAGGTCTGCTACAGGCTGCAGTCTGAAGCTCTACTCGGAGGTTCATGGGTACTTATTGATCCATTGTAAGTGAAGCTCTACTTGGAGGTTCATGGGTACTTATTAACGCATGATAGGTGTACTTATAACCCACCTTGTAAGCCTCTTAAGCGCCCTAATATGGTTAAAACTCCAGTTATAAGTACAGTTGCAATTGGTTAAAGTAACTGTCAGGGTGCTCCCAAGATGCTCAACCTAAGATAGGGGTATTCTTAGGAGCTCCTCAAGTCTCCAAGCAGCTTCTTGGCAGTGCGAAAGCTCGGGGGATGCAAACGGGCCAGAGGTTGAATAGTTTAAAGCCATGTGGCTTCATCTTCTGATGAATCCTAGGGGTGCTTTTGCTCCACAGCTTCGTTGAAAAATGTGAAAACATGCGCAACCCCCTCCCCACCCCCTCCCCCCCAAAAAAGAAGCATGTCACCAAATCGCGCTATAAAAAGTGCACAAACAGTGTGAAAAGCGTGACTTCCTTCCTTGGATGTTGCGCTCATGCTGGTTTCGGGGTGACCCAGAGGACTGCGTAAACATTGGTCGCCTTCAAAAGAGTTCAAAGAGACGGTCCCGCTTGAGTTCACGTCCCTGCAACCGGGTATTCGGGTACATCTGTGGATGTTGTGCTCTCCGTTTGGGGGGCCATCCTGTTGGTCTGTTGAGATGTCTGGCTGCAAATGGGAGAAGAGCCGCCCGTGTTGTGTGTTCTTCGATGTTTTGTGCTTGCCGACTTCATCATGGCACGATGCACGAAGGTCTCGGGTGGTGGGGGGGGGGGGGGGGATGGGCAGGCCACACTTATCCGCAAACAAGATGATGCAAGGATGAAGGGCCCACGTCTCCTTCTCATGTCAGATTTCGGCTCGCAGGCTCACCCGTTTTGCAAACAAAATGGTTAGATTGACGGTTTAACGCAAAGCAACATGAACACTGGCCCCTGAATGGTTCCTTAGTATGGGCCCTTACACAGGGCCCCCCTATAAAACCCAAGGGAGGGCCCTTACTTCAGAACCCTTTCACGAAGGTTAGGGGCCATACTCAGGGACAATGCAAGCACCTGTAGACTGATTCACAGAGCATTTCTCTCTTTTGCGGCGCATTCCTCCTTAGACTAAAATCAAGCCCCTTCTAAGGTCAGTTCTCCGCGTTGCGGAGAACTTCCTAGATGACCCCCGAAATGTAGGGACCATGAATAAGCGAACTCCCCAAATGAAGGCCTACACCCTCAACCCCTAAACCCCCATCTGTCCCTAAACCCTAAACCCTAAACCCTAAACCCTAAACTCTAGACCCGAAACCCTAAGCGTGCAGCTTCAAGGGATGATTGACGACGACGGCGACTGTGCAAACCCCCTCTACTCTACAACCCGACACCTGAAAACGGGCATTTCCCAAAATAGGGTTTAGGGTTTAGGGTTAGGGTTTGGGGTGACAAAATGGGGGTAACCCTTCAAAATACAAGACCCCAAAATACTACAACCCAAAACAAAATAAATCCTTCTTACAGGAACCCACGACAAAACAGGGGTTCCACCCCGTTTTGGGAAGCCCTCAAACGAGTCCGAAGCTCTAAACCCTCAACCCTAGACCCCAAACCCTAACCCTAAACCCTAAACCCTAAACCCCAAACCCTAAACCCCAAACCCTAAACCCTAAACCCTTTTGAACCCAGGCTCGGACAAGCTTGCTGGGAGTCCCGCCAAGCCAACCCCTCATTCAGGGCAGACCCTAAACCCTAAACCCCAAACCCTAAATCTGAAGCATTCCAGGCGTTCTTGGCCTGAGCGCCTGGCGGAACTGGGCCTGGACCGGACCGTCTGAGAATTCTGAGCCGACTCAGACCTGAAAAAACTGAGAGGGTGCTAGGGGGTTTTTAGGGATTTATAGAGTTTAGAGGGTTTAGAGGGTTTAGAGCATTAGGGTTCTTATGGGGGTTTAGGGATTTGGGGGGTTTAGAGGGGTTAGAGGGTTTAGAGGGTTTAGAGGGTTTCGAGGGTTTGGGGTTTAACCTGAAAAACTGTTTGGGGTTTAACCTGAAAAACTGAGCATTAGGGTTGTATGGGGTTTTAGGGATTTATAGAGTTTTGAGGGTTTAGAGCATTAGGGTCCTTAGGGACTGAGCATTAGGGTTGTATGGGGTTTGGGGTTTGGGGTTTAGGGCTTAGGGTTTGAGGAAAAAATCGAGCATTAGGGTTGTATGGAGTTTTAGGGATTTAGAGCGTTTAGAGGGTTTGGAGCATTAGAATTCTTATGGGGTTTTAGGGATTTATAGGGTCTAGAACATTTGGGTTTCATGGGTTTTAGGGTTTATAGGGTTTAGGGCTTTATAGGGTTTAGAGGTTTAGGGCTTTAGGGTTTTGCAGGGTTTAGGGCTTCGCGGGTTGGTAGGGGTTTGTAGGGCTCTAGGGTTTCTAGGGTTTCGGGTTTATAGGGCTTACAGGGTTTTTTATAGGGTTTAGGGCAAATAGGGTTTTATGGGGTTTAGGGCTTACAGTGGTTATTTTTGCCACAGGGTTTGTAGGGCTTATAGGGTTTAGGGCTTGTAAGGCTGATACGGCCTATAGTCTTATAGTCCAATGTCTTTATGGGCCAGCAGCCTGCCTTCCAGGGCCTGCATCGACAGCACCGACAGCACAGACCGAGCTCCTGTCCAGAAGATCTACAACCCGACAGGGCTCGAGCGAATGCTTCTGGGCTTAAGGTTGAGACTTTAGCGTGTCGCAGGTGCAGCTGCATGAATACAAGAAATCTTGCGAACCCCCCACAACTTCCGCAACGTGTTCCTTGGCTTCTTGACATGCTCACCGAAAAGCCAGTCTAGCCACTGCCACGAATAGCTAACATCCCATTCCATGTCATTTCATCGGCAAACCCAGAACAACGAAAAAGTTGATCCTGAAGCTCCAGAAATCTAAGGGAAGTTGCATGGTCCTTTCTTGACATGGCTCCCTTCCTTCTCGAAAGGGTTCTGAAGTATGGGCTTTTCAGGTAGATCAGGAATATATGAGTTCCCCAGATTTAGGCATCGGCTCTCTTACCATGGTGGGCCCCAAGTTGACCCCAATCTGCCGCTGGGGGGGTGGTCCCAAAATGGGGGGGGGGGGGTACCATGTGGAGTACCCTTTTGTTTGGGGCTCCTGGAATACGGGCAAGAGTGTGTTGAAAATATTGGGGGTTGCCCTGCGCACCTTGCTGAGCTCGGCCGTCGAGATGGACCGGGGCTGGACGCCGGCTGGCTCGTCTCGCTCCTCCTCACAGATCGGCAAAATTCGAGGCTTTTGCTCTTAAGGGACGTAGTTGCGTCCCTTCATATGAAGTAAGGTTTATATTTCTTGTACCCCCAAAAAGACACCAAAATATAAACACTCACCAAAATTAAAATGGAACCTTATATACACTCACCAAAAACAGTAATTAATAAAAACCCTGCTTCATATGGGCCCTTAAAATTAAAGGGGGACCTCACATGTACCCCTTATATACCCTATACAACCCTGTGCCCTGTGCAAAGATGGTACGTCACTGCATGCCGTTGACTTTCTGTCATGGGTTCCCTTACTACCCCGCTCTATACTACCCCCCCCACCTTAGTTCCCCCATTAATGAAGGCTATTGAAGGATAATTAAGCCTAATGAAGGCTATTTCATGGGGAAACTAAGGGGGGGTAGTATAGAGGGGGGGTAGTAGGGCAACCCATAATTCTGGCATCCTGCGTGCCGAAGCCGACCGAGAGGACAGAGAGCAGCTCCTCCAGATTCCATGGGGCTGCAGGAGCAGACAATGGGGGATCGGGGAATGAGGCCCTAAACCCGAAACCAAAAACCCTAAACCCCAAACCCTAAACCCCATAATCCCTAAACCCTCAACAGAGGTCGCCCGTCTCAGCTCGCGGCGGCACTGCCGTGGTCTCCGTGCTTCCCGATGATGCCGAAACCGGCCTCGGGATACTGTTTGCTGCAAAGAACCAGTCCCCCCCAAAAAAAAACATATATAAAGAAATGCTACCCCCGGAAATAAATGTATGTATATATACATATATATATATACCCATTTCTGTTTTGTATTCATTTACTTATTTGTTCATATGTATCTTTATCTATTTATTTGTACATATATATATATATACATATTCCTTATGAGCGCATTATTTATGATCTGCTAAGTTTTATGATGAGAACTCCCTTGTAGGGGCAATAGGCTCTTGAGCAAATGGCAGTGGCAGAGGCTGAGCTGAGCCCAGACGGCGGGTTAGACGAGTGAGGCTGGGACATGGGTAAGGCACAAGGGGGTTTGCGAAAATAAGGGGCACCTCACATAGACCCCAAGTGGTGGGATTCCCTTGTAGTAAGGACCCCAATAAGGCAGCCCTATTTTCCCTAAACCCTAAATACCCTAATTTCCTTAAATACCCTAAAAACTCTAAATACCCTAAATACCCTAAATACCCTAAATACCCTAAATACCCTAAATACCCTAAATACACTAAATACCCTAAATACCCTAAATACCCTAAATACCCTAAATACCCTAAATACACTAAATACCCTAAATACCCTAAATACCCTAAATACCCTAAATACCCTAAATACCCTAAATACCCTACTAAACCCTAATTTCGGAAGACCCCACATGGGAGCTCTGCCTGGAGCCCTTGGACGGCCGCGCAGCGCGCAGAGGAATGCGCAGGTGAAAGTCTGCCAGGTCCTGCCCATGAAGAGCATCCCCTGTAAGAAGCACCTTTTGTGAAACTGGGCTGGAGGTTTAGGGTTTAAAGGGTTAAAGGGTTTAGGGTTTAGGGTTTAGTGTTTAGGGTTTAGGGTTTAGGGTTTGGAGGACTAGCCAGTTCAGGTCAACCTCAGATAAGCCCTAAAGCCCTGAACTCCGGCGGTGGACTGTTGGCCTCGTCCTGCGCTCGCAGCGGGGCCGCTGCCACAAAGGCCGCGCGCGCCTCTGAAGGGGGCTTAGGGTTTTAGGGTTTAGGGTTTAGGGTTTAGGGTTTAGGGGGACGTCGGCAGCAGCTCCAGAGAGGGCGGCTTCCGAACCGGCTCAAACCCGAGCTCCGCACTTCGTCTTGGCGCCTCTGCGCGACACAACGCCCGCAAGTGCCAGCTACTGGCAGTAGTTGTATAGTAGTTGCAATGCAGTTGTATGGTAGCTGTATAGTAGCTGTGTAGTACTTGTATAGTAGTTGTATAGTAGTTATATAGTAGTTATGCACAGATGAGGTATGTCTTGCCATGCCTTCCACCGCTGAGGCCAGGAGTCGCGCAGTCAACGAACTCTGTCGCCTTACTCTGTGTCATGGCCAGGGAACAAGAGCTAAGTTTAGGGTTTAAGGTTTAGGGCTTAGGGTTTAGGGTTTAGGGAATACACGCAGTAACTGCTGATGAAGATCCATGGTGTGACTATGCCGGACCCGTGTTTTGCAGCAGCTGTATGGCAAATCTGAGGGCGAGCACCATGCGCGCAAAGCTGTCGGAAGGACAAGTTGTAGGGGCCTGCAGGGAAGCAACTATTGCAAGATGAAATTACTATGGCTCGTCTGCCATCACGCAGCCCATAAGACTCTCAGAAGTCTCTCGGCAAGCTCAGCGAAATGTTGAGAGTAGTGCTAGTTGTCTGTGTAGTTGTAGTAGTTGCTGTAGTTGTAGTAGTTGTAGAGTTGGTCATTGTAGTAGTTGTAGTAGTTGTAGTA